ATATATAAACAATCAATGTGTCATCGCGAACAACGCCCTTCCACCCCTGCGCGCGCTCAGCGGGCCACGGTAAAATTATCAAAGGCTGACTGGTCCGCGGCGATAAAAAGGTTGGGGACCACTGACTTAGAGGACCCATTCATCTTAACATAAAATCAACTTTCTCTTAATATATACTCTTTTTTAAAAAAAATGGAGCCACAGCATAAATTATGTTTTGCCAAAATATTAATCTTGAATTCCGTAACAAAAGTAAATTATTTTTATAATAGTCTGGGGACTTATCTAAAGTTCTTCTATCTTTAAAAAAAAGCCAACACTGAAGATCAACCTAGTATTTAAAGCTTAGTAACAAGCATCACATGATTAAGGCACTTCACTGATTACACCAGAATAGCAATTATTAAGAATAAAATAACTTTAAATTCAGAGAAATTGAAAATGGTTCTGTGGTTTTCAAAAATAAATTTAAATAGATGTAGAGGAGATGTACATATGGGTGGATTTTTATGTAAATGTTTATCTATATGACATTATGTTTTAGTCAAAGGAGATATAGAAGACATGGCAGAATGCATGTTTTGCAGGTCCAAGATCCCAAGTTTAATTTCTTGGAGGGGGGGAGGAATGAATCTTTACCTAATACATTGGAGAGTTGTTGCCAATTAGAATAGATAATATTAAGTTAAACCAAGCAGGATTATGTTAAAGTCAGGAAATTTAGTGCTCCATATATATTTTGAATTAAAATTCCCAAAGCCTCAACCAGCATGACTAATGAATTAAGTTGCTACCAACTGTTGAATACTGAAAAATCACCAAAATGTTACCTTAGTTCCTGTATAGCACAAATATGCTTCTTACAATCTATAACTGTCTATGCTTTTACCTAAATTACTATCCAAGTGCAAAGCAATTTAATATTCCTTATCTGAGAGCCTGGATGTATGTACAAGAAAGCTGGCAACATAGAGATATTTACTCTGCTATATCCACTCAGGTACCTTGCTATCTATTTGCTATCTCTTCTAAAACAGAATCTTTATTTGGAAAACATTTGTTGCTCATAAAAATCCTATTTGGGAAATTATTAGGTGATTCTATTTTTGTTTAATGGTCTCTTCTCCATTAGCCTTTGATAAAGGCTCTGCTTATTTTTGGGGAGGTGTATTTCTTTCTTTTGAAAGGGATGCCAGGAATGAAAGAATGGGACAAGCTAAACTGCAGGAATACAACCATAATTTTGGTAGAAATGAATCACAGACTCTGTGAAAGGGGGGGAATCTGGATATAATTTCTGCTCAATATAGGATCTGCTATAGGTTTTGGACTGATAGCTATCCAGCCTCTATCTGAAGATCTCTAGTGAAGGAAGGGGTGGGGGTGGGGGTGTTTTCATACCACTTCATGAGACAACTTAATACAATGAGGCAAATGTATAACTACTTGCTACTACTAACTACTATTACAGTAATTGATCAGAGATGCTCTTACTATAAAAAGGTAGTCCTCGATTTAACCACAATTTGTTTAGTGAAGTTACAACACTGAAAATGGGACTTATAACTGGTCTTCACACTTATGCCTGTTGCAGTATCCCCATTATTACACAATCAAAATTCAGGTGCCTGGCAACCAGCATCTATTTACAACAGCTGCAGCAGCATCGGGTCACACTGATCACCATTTGTGACCTTCCCAGCCGGCTTTCAATATGCAAAATCAACTAGGGAAGTCAGATTTGCTTAACGACTATGTGATTCATTTAACAATTGTGGCAAAAAGAAGTTTGTAAAAAACAGGCATGACTCACTTAACGACCACCTTGCTTAGCAATAGGAATTCAGGTCCCAACTGTTGTTCATAATTCAAGGACTACCTGTACTCAGTTTCACTCTCATATTTTACCTCCTTAATTACCATCACTACAATCACCAGGAGTGGAATGAGCTGGAAGAAACAGTAATGATCTAAAAATAAGGTCCCTAGAAACCAGGGAAACTATTTTACTAAGATTATATGTTGCATTCAGGATTCATTGCTTCTTAAAATCATCTCTTATTCTTGGTTGGCTTATATTCTACTCCTAAGGATAGTAACTCATACTCATAGGAGCTGTCGTGGCGCAGTGGTTAGAATGGAGTATTGCAGGCTAACCATGTCCACTGCCAGGAGTTCCATTGGCTCGAGGTTGACTCAGCCTTCCTTCCTTCCAAGGTCAGTAAAATGAGGGCCCAGTTTGTTGGGGGAAGTATGCTGAGTCTGTAAACTGCTTAGAGAGGGCTGTAAAGCACTTCTATATACGTCTAAGTCAAAGTGCTATTGCTATAAGCAAAGGCCAATTTTCATAGCATTTTTATTTTTGAAAATCCTCCACGTAGAATTTAGATGACTGGATCAATGGAAGATAAGAAAAGCTCCTCTGGTATGGAGTGCACTCACCTGTCCCAATGTACATCACATGATAGAGCGTATCCTTGCCCTGAACAATGTCAACCACCAGTTTGGAAAAGCGGATGTTGTCTTGAGTAACATATGGATCCACAGAGACGGGTTGCACCACATCATTCATTAGGAACAAGCGCTGAGCATCCTGCAGGATCCTTTCTGTTAGATTCTCATTGGGGCCATCGTCATTCAATACTCCACACTGAGGAACAAAAAGAAAGAAACAAAGGTATTTAGTCTCATATTATTTAACTCAAACATTTAAAAGTTTACCTAAAATATTATTGAATAAATTGTTCTGTCATTCATTTGTAAGTACCTTTCGTTTATGCATGCTATCACAATTTTATCCCTGTCATAGCGCCATCGGAGCCTGAATCTGCAGGGGAAGACAAGCTGGAACTGGGGGTGCGGCTTCATTGGCTTCAGAAGAAAACTGGGAAGGGCAGGGCTGGTCAGCCCAGGGCTTTTCAGGATTAGAATGGCTTGTAGGCATGGAGGAACAGGGGCAGGAGGACCAAGAGAGGCTAAGTAATAAGCAGGACAGACAGAACTCAGGTGAGGAGCAAGGACCACCCCCTCCTGGTCCTCAAGCACAGAGAGAAGAGAGAAGGGGAGAAAAGGGCAGACTGAGTTTGTGCTGTCCCAACAGTATATAGCCAATTTAAAAATTAGAAGCTGTCTCCTTTAAGCAACTACCTTAAGGGAAATGCAACTACCTTGTGGGAAATGTAGTCCCATAACATGTGACCACATCTGTGCTCCCTGATTGGGCAGTGGGGTATTTTGCC